ACTTGGGTTTAATGTAACCTTAAAATCTCCGCAAATACGGATTCCACTGAACTATGTGAGTGCCCCAATCAGAACTTTTGACTGGGAGAAGTACACCTTCTTCTGTTAACTTCTCAAGCTCTTTTTCTACTTTAGCTTTAAGTGAAAAAGGTATAGACCGTGGCTTAAAGTACCGATTTGTGGCGTTAGCTTTCAATTTTAATTGAACTGGTTCACCTTTGTATTGACCTAATTTATCAGTGAAAACCTTGGGAAATTCTTTAAACAATTCTTTGGTTAGTTCAGTGCAATGTTTACTATGTACAGTTTGATTGATACTAGCGTTATTATCAATGCCAAAAATTTTATCTTTGACAGATATTTCCACACCAAGGCTCTGAAGCCAATTACGTCCTATCAGAGGATGAGCTCCTTTCTTAATTACATACAATTCTAGACATTTGCTTACTCCTTGATACTGTACATCTACTTCAATTTTCCCTAACGGAACGATTGGTTCATTTGTGTACGAACTCAGAGATAAGTCAGTGGATAACAATTTATAATTGTTAAGATTTTCATTGTAAAAGTTTTCACTACAGTACATACACTTTCGCTTGCGCCTGTGTCAACTTCAAAATGAATTGGTTTTCCCTGAACTGTTAATTCCAATTTAATAGGGCTTACTTTAGCATTTTCTACTTTACTTTAATTCATTTTGAATAAATTTGGAATATCTTCCTCATAGCTTTCAGCTTTAGGGTTATCATCGCTTGCACTCGTTACTGCTTCTACATAATTATGCCTACTGTTATATCTATTACTAAAATGATGAGAATGTTGTTTTTGTGACTTACTCTTAGATCGGCAAACCTTAGCAATGTGATTCTTCTTTCTACACGCGTTACACGTTACACCTAACAATCGACACTGATTACGTAAATGGAATGCACTTCCACAACACGAACACTGTACTTTGTTGTCGTGCGAAGAGCTGCTTTTGGGGTGATTGTGGTGACCTGAAGGTGCGGTGACGGTGACACTTGAATGGTGCGCTGCTTCCGCCTGGTACTCTGCGATGGTGTGACGTCATCTTTTGTAGTCGCTCGACGTTGCGGGTCCCGTTGATCGACAAGGCTGCGGCATTCTTCTCAGCGGCTTCTGCTGACGTGATGATTTTGACGGCTTGGTCCAAGGTTAGGCTAGTTTCTGCTAACAATTTTTGTTTGGTCGAATTGTTCCTGATTCCGGAGACTAGACGATCCCTCAGGTAGTCATTTAAAGATGTGCCGAAATCGCAATGTGTAGACATGCGGAATACATGCGCGATGTATTCCGCAGCTGATTCTCCCTCGTGCTGAATTCTTTTGCTGAACTTGTATCTCTCAACGATGAACGATGGTTTCGGGTAGAGATGATCCTTAATGGTAGTCACTATTTCCTTAAAACTCTTCTTCGATGGTACGTCGGGCGTGCACAGATCCCGTAGTAAACTATATGTTTTAACACCAGCAACAGTCAATAAAGTGCTAACCTTCTTCTTCTCCTCCTTAATATTGTTACATTCGACGAACAGCTCGAATCTTTCTGTGTATGAAGACCACGTTTCGGAGTTCTGGTCGTACTCGCCGATGCTGCCAATTATCCCGGCCATGCTGGAGTAACTCGACACTTCACTATCTTCAAACAACGGTAGTAAGACTAAGTCCACTTCGTCGTCCGACATTTACAAACGCGTTCAAAATTTACACTACGCGGCACAATCGAACAGTTGCATTGCACGGTATGTAAATTTGACCGACCTCGTCGCCATTTGTTGTGTTCGTGGGTTGAATTGGACTTAGGAAGTGGACTGAAATAAATACGATATTTTTACATGTTTAAAACACGGCTACAAACAGATGATTAAAGTATGACTTTTGGAGGTAGACTGGCTGTTGTAGGGACGTACAGACATGGACGGTGGTGTGATGTAGGTGGAGAGGGGATCAGGTGATGTTTGTAGCCAATGAGATTTATTGAAAATCATACGATCACAGTGGCGTGATGTACAAGGAAATCATAGTTGGATATTAATATTCTTAAGATATATTACAAAAACCTTATTGGTATTGGGAAACTCCAGAGCCACTGGGGCGGAGCCTGAAAGGAGTTTTGAGATAACAATATGCCTATATGTTAATCGGGAAATGTAAGCTATCATCACCCCAAATTTCAGCCCAATCTGACCACTGACCAGTATTTTTCGTGTTTACTTGTCACAAACATACATAGGCTACATACATACATCCAAACTTTCTCATTTATACTATTAGTAGGATAGCCTATATTTTAAAGGTAATACTGAACTTATATACTACTTATGTTACATTGAATTTTTTTTTTTTTTTGCCTTATCTACCTAACTTAAGTTAAATTAAACTATTTAAAGCACTTTTTACCATTGGCATTTTTGGGGGAAACGCCTATTTCACCCTGAAAATTGTGTTTGAAAATCAAGAAAAATGCAGAAAATTAATGATTTTTGGGGCTTGAAAATTTTCTTTTAGCAAATTTCCCATATAGGGAATAAGCTATTAGGTACCGTAGGTCTCATGGTAAGACCTAGACCCGGGACCGATTTGACTTTTTCGTTTTGAGGCCCCCAGAGGCCAAAAACGCCATCCGATCAAATATATATATATTATATATATATATATAGGTATATATTTATGGTATATATTTATATATATATATATATATATATATATATATATATCATTTCTTAACCGATTTCAGCCATTGACGTCTCATTGGAAAGAGCGTGTCGCGTAGATTTGCAAACTGGCCTTACATTTTTGAAAAAGTCCCTTGGGCTCTGCCCCAGTGGCTTTGAAAGTTCCCATGTTATCCTTATGAAGAACATAATTGTTTACATTTGGATCAGCTGTATAATTTAATTGCTGTTATTTATTTTTCAATACAATGAAACGCATTTAGTACATTTGTTTACTATTTGAGTTTGTGTAAACATAACCCCCAAGGCGGATCGGGTTAGTATGGTTGTATCTAAAATTTGTGTATTTATCGTTGTTTTGTGTCGCTATGAAGGATCGTTTTAGCACGATTGTAACTTAAATTTGTGCATTTATCGTTGTTTTGTGTCGCTATGAAGGATCGTTTTAGCACGATTGTAACTTAAATTTGTGCATTTATCGTTGTTTTGTGTAGCTGTAATTTGTTTATTTGTTGTTTTTTATCTTTTAAATGCCTCGGACGCGACAACGAAACATAGACGGGAGGCGTAATTGTGATAACTACCGCAGCTACAGAACAGTGGCGCGTAATAGGCATAACTCATCACAGTCAGCACCTGACCCTGGACAATGTCAACTATTAGGTTACAAATGCGCCCTAACACTACCCCAGAACGACTTTTCGTTCTCAATTGGCCCTCTATCAATGACCTGTGTTGCTTGTACAGCGAGGCATTTTAAGAAAGAGAAAACCAGCCGGAATTAACGAAGATAAACATGGTCTGAGTTACACACCGGTACTCTCTGAGTTGACTCTTTTAAACTCATTGTAAATATGACTGTTATTCGTTTTGAAATAACTCCTGTAATACTTTGCAATTGCTCGAATTCGAGCAACATGTACACTAGTTAATATATTAATATATTTATATATGTGTCCGTTAGCGCGATAACTCGAGCAAATATGATCCGATTTTGATGAAATTTGGTACAAACATGTAAACCTACGTTTATTCGAACGAGTTTGCGAACCAGCATAATTGGACCATGGGAACAGGGGTTTATGGGGGGTTTTATGGGTAAAAATGGGTTTTTTCCCATTTTTAACCCTTAAAATAAAAATTTTGCAATTTCTTTCTCGACCATTTTGTAGAGCTTAAAAAAAGAAATAATTTAGTATATTGAAGCGCTGTTTTATGCCTAACGGTCACGGAGAAAATAAAAAAAAAGTGTAATTTAAAATTCCCATGTTATTCTTATGGAGAAAATGAAAACTGTTGTAGTTTACTTGTTTATGGATATATGTTGATAAAATTTAACAAATTTATTTATTTCATTCTATACTATTGACATATGGTCAAAAACACTTTTTACCTTCCCCTTACCAGCAAACCTAAGCACTGGTTAAATCTATAAGTATAAAAGAGGATGTTTGTATATATATATATTTGGCAGTGATAAACTCAGACACCGCTGAACCGATTGCCACGAAACATTGTACATACGTGTAGAATTTCATGGAATAGGTTTATACACCATCAATTTCGTGATCCGCCCAATCGGCTCCGCCCCAGTGGCTCTGGAGTTTCCCATGTTAACCTTATGAGAAATGGAATTAATGAATCTTAACAGCTGTTTCAATTAAACAAGTTGGTTCTGTTCTATGATGTTCAATAGCATTAAAGTTACAAGGATTACCAACAGGGTGCAGCACTATTATTTCTTTTACATTTATGACAACAGCTAATTTGCAACCAAAAGGTGAGTGAGCATAGCGAACGAACTTCAACCTGGAGGCGAGTTAGCGTAGTGAACGAGCTAACCTAAAGGCAAGTGAGCGTAGCGAACGAGTTAACCTGAAGGCAAGTGAGCGCAGCAAAAGCCCCAACCTAAAGGTGAGTGAGCGTAGCGAACGAGCTCCAACCTAAAGGTGAGTGAGCGTAGCGAACGAACTTCAACCAGGACGTGATTGAGCCATGCGAACGAGATCATCTTGAAAATTAAGAAGTTAAACGGGGCAAAGCCCGTGGGTTACAGCTAAGTGTTATTTAAATTGGGAATAAATATGTCTTATTTATGGAAATATTTTAGTAAAAATGTAATCAGACAAGTTCAGAAAAAATGTAAAAATGTGCAGAAAAAAAATACTGATTCCAACACTGTTGACACTATGTGATTATTTTGACACTATTCATTGTACAATGTACATAAAATGAATAAAGATAGCCTATTTTAATTTAATTGAATTGGTGAAATATTAATCATAACATTTGGGTTTATTTCTAGGTCTGGTTTGTTTTTAGAGACTGCCCAAGCAGCTTTACATTGGTTTTGGATCTAGCTATAAACTTGAAGTTAGCTGCAATGTTAGCCTTGGTAATCTCTTTTCTGTATTTCTACTAACGTTTCTAAACTTGGAAGAACTCCACCCAAAAAAAAGAAAAGAAATTTCAAAAAAGCTATTAAATTTCAGTTATTTTCCCAAAAAAAGAGTTGTGTACAGTTCTTCCTGAACATTTTGATGTAGTAATACAGTAGGTAAATATATGCCGATGCTTAATGTGAAATCTGTGCGTGCATACCTTCAATTTGAGACCACAATCATGAAAATCGGTCGGGTTGAAGAGCCAAACGAACTCAGAAAAGAAAAAACCAAATTTAACTCCTATAAGAAATACATGGGGAGCAAATTTCGTTTATGTATAAGCCAAGTGGGATTAGATAAATATATGCCGATGCTTGATGGCAAATCTGTACGTGCATACCTTCAATTTGAATCCTCAATCATGAAAATCGGTCGGGTAGAAGTGCCAAACGAACTTGGAAAAGAGAAACCAAATTTAACTCCCATAAGAAATACATGGTGAGCAAATTCCTTTTACGTACCATATAAGCCAAGTGGGATTATAGATAAACATATACCGATGCTTGATGGCAAATCTGTGCATGCATACCTTCAATTTGAGACCTCAATCATGAAAATCGGTCGGGTAGAAGAGCCAAACGAACTCGGAAAAGGAAAAAACCAAATTTAACTCCCATTAGAAATACATAGGGAGCAAATTTCGTTTATGTATAAGCCAATTGGGATTAGATAAATATATGCCGATGCTTGATGGCAAATTTGTGCGTGCATACCTTCAATTTGAGACCACAATCATGAAAATCGGTCGGGTAGAAGAGCCAAACGAACTCAGAAAAGAAAAAACCAAATTTAACTCCTATAAGAAATACATGGGGAGCAATTTTCGGTTACGTATAAGCCAAGTGGGATTAGATAAATATATGCCGATGCTTGATGGCAAATCTGTGCATGCATACCTTCAATTTGAAACCTCAATCATGAAAATTGGTCGGGTAGAAGTGCCATACGAACTTGGAAAAGAGAAACCAAATTTAACTCCCATAAGAAATACATGGGGAGTAAATTTTGTTTATGTTTAAGCCGAGTGGGATTATAGATAAATATATACCGATGCTTGATGGCAAATCTCTGGGTGCATACCTTTAATTTAAGACCTCAATAATGAATCGGTCGGGTAGCAGAGCCAAACAATCTCGGAAAAAAAACCAATTTTTTAAAAATATATTAGACTAGCAACAGAGCCCGTTGTGGTTAAATACAACGGTCTCTAGTAAAATAATGGTTGTGAATTCCATACGCCACTTTACTCACTAATATTAATGGTACAGATTAAGCACATAACATAATAATCGCATACTTAACATAAGGAACTCACTTTAAACACAATAAATGCAAATTGTTAACAACAACATTTAATCAAAGAAAAATCAATTAAATAACAATATAACAATAAGCTGTTAAATTATTAACACATGTTTCGTATGTTTAGATTATGCATACTGGTAAGCCAATTATTGCCATCTATAAAAATTATTGGTTCTTCTCTACGGTAATAGCTTAAATTCCCTATATGGGAAATTTGCTAAAAGGCAATAAGATGCCAAGAAAGCTATCAATATGCATTTATCTTTTGACTGCTTTTTCTATTAAGTTTTTTTTTTATGTTTCAGGAACATGAAGACCAAACCATCTATGACAAAAAAGTGTTGCACAAATTAGACTTTGCTAAATTTGAATCGATATTCAATCCACCAATATCAGTTTCAAAGCCTGGAGAGGGTCTGGTAATTCGACCTCTTCAATCTTCTGATTTCAATTTGGGTAAATGAATGCTTGGTTCTAACATCAATTCCTGATTATTCTACTTTCAAAGACATTTTCAGATGACTGTCTCGGGTAGATCTCCCAGCTGTATATCACTGGCTAATTTAACTGGCTACATGTGGTCAACAGACATCTCACAAGCTCTTATGTTTATATTTTAAGAAATCAAGAACGCTCAACACATAATAATAAATTTTTGTAGTAGTCATCGTTTTTAGGCAATATTAACACGTTGACTGCTAACGCCGACTCTAGTCGGCGTCGCTAGCACTTCAATGTGGCGCGCGCCGACAAAAGTCGGCACCAGACCAACAGAAATATATTGAGTCAGTGTGAGCTTAGCCTCAGACGGATACGTTATAATCGTTGCCAGCCTGCCAGCTTAGAATGCGAGCTTTACTTTGGTGTAGGTTGGTTCTAAAATTTCCCGTAAAATCCTGTCTGGCAATGCTTTTGTCCCGGTTTCGGGGATTTTTTCTCTTCAACCCACATTACAAAGACACTGGATACGGATCCGTGCAGTGCTGCTACCTTTGGGTGTTTCAGTGAACTACATCCACTCTCGGGGTAACGCAGCACAGTCACCACTGCTCTTTTGTGATTCGTCAGACTGAAATATTTGAATGCTAATTGCGTTCGCTGATTCGGTTGCATGCCGGGGCTTCGCCCGCCACTGGGGAGCGCCTGTACGTTGTTTTCAGCAGTCATCGTGTTAAAATAGTTGAATGAATCTGATGTTAAAGCTAGGAAAATGATTCTACACATTTCCTCGTTATTTGAATAACTCTGTCTTGTGATGAGATTCATTAACTACTGATATAAATTTATTTATTTACAATAATAACATCTTTTGAACTGTTACGATTTTCTCCTACAGAAGAAAAAGTAATATGTAAAGCCTGGATAATTTATCCTCTTCAGTATGAATTAACTTTTTTGGAATGCAAATTCCAAACTAATCTACGAACTATAACTAATATTTTGTATTTTTTTCAGGTTATATTAATCTTCTAGCACAACTTACCTGTACGGGAGATATTTCAAGAAAAGAGTTCACTGGTATGATTCTAAATTAACTTTCGTCATTAACAAAAAGCAGTAGATTTTTTTTATTGCATGGCTTAAAAAGTTAAAATATCATCAGTGAAAGACTTTAGTGAAGCTTGATACATTGTCACTTGTCAGTAAGGTATTTGGAGTTTAAGCTTCTTAAACTACCTAAAAAGTATAGATAAATTTGTGCGAAGTCCTCCTGGATGCATCATTCAAATTGTCTTGTAGTTGTTGGTCGTGTATTAAAATGCAACCGACTACTACTCACTGCCCATTACTGCATATCGTACCTACTGTTTTTGACGTGGTTTGTCTTTTGACAACCTTTGTAAAGCCGAGTCCTCCTTACATGTTTTTATAGATTACGATGAGTGCTGAAGCTATATCTTAATGGTAAATGCCACTCTGATCTTACTCTGTGTGACACAAGCGAAATGACCATTTTTATAAAAGCTTAATCATATCAGTTAGTGTCTAAATACGAGTACATTAGCGCGGGGACACCGAAACCGCCACAGCAATTGATACCCCACTCGAACGCCTTTATAATCCTAACACCCTTATACACCTTTAAACACCGTTATAATCCTTCCTAATTAGGAAGGATTATTAGGGTGTTTTTGAATGGGGTAGAAATACTGAAACTGCCTTAGCGGATTCCTCAGGTAGACAGGAAAAAACGGGAGACTTATAATTCCTATTTCTGTCTTAACCTTCTACGTTAACATCTTAACATCTCTTTTACAATAATACGTTGATTAGAAAAAAATAAATGGTTGATTTGCCCTTTCGTATTTATATTTTAGGAGTTATTTTTTTGTTAGTTAAAGTTTTTGGTGTTGCGACTGTTAGAGTAAATATTTTTTAAGTATTAATTTTGTCTTCTGTGAATATATTTATTTTTCTTTTAGTACTGTATTTACATTGTATGGTTTAATAGTAATATGTAGTAATGAACAATCAAAGTAAGATGTACTTTTTGACACGCACCTGTACTAAAACATATAAGGAACACATTTTGCCTACAAAAGTTGAGTTATTATTAATATAAAGTAATGGAATACTTTTAATGAATAATCACTTACCACTAAGCAACACGTTTTATGTTCATTCACCACGTATATAACACTGTATTTTAAATGTGATCTGTTCAACGCTTTTAATTACACTAGGGGTGGTCAAATGCCAATGGAATAATGTAAAACTGTAATATTTAAAAATATTTTTATTCACCCTAGACGCTAGGTTGCAGAACTAAAACTACTTTACCAACCTCCATGCCCTGCAGAGGGGTGGTCATGTGGAATCTCAGTGGAATGCCCAACTATTCGCTCAACTTGTGTAAGGGTATACAATTCGGGATTTCACAGCAGTTTTGTGCTATCCTTCAGAGATTTAGTTGTACGTGTGTTGGTTATACTTAGTTGATTGTCTTTCGATGGAGGTGAAGGTAGTCGAAACGAAGAGAGGATGTGTGGCTTTGTTGGTAGACGGATACCGTTTTGTTAGACAAAGTGTGGTGTTAATAAGTGGGTTTGCTAGATGAAAAGACGGGGAGGATGTCGAGCAAAATTCTTTACAGATTACATATAAAAATGAGAAACAGTTTTAACGCGTATTTAAAAAGGTACTGTTATTTTATCGTGCTGCAACCAATATGCATTTAGTAGATATTATATACTAGGTGGCGTTCGCAGAGGCATCCACAAAATTGAACGGAGTCATCAAGGGTTCATATTTTATTGTTTTTGTCATACTGCAGTAAAAACAGCAGTATTTAAGTAACTGTTTCCCTCTCTTCCCATAGCATTTTAGGATTGCAGATACATTAATGTAATTGCCAAAGACAGTTCCCACACTCTGCACTGCAAGCCTTACTACTTCCATCACCATTTCCTACGTCATAGACCTGTTTCCTTCCCTTCCCCATAGCATTTAAGTATTAGATACATTTATCTAACTAACTGCCCAAAAGGTTCCCCCACTCTGCACTGCCAGCCTTTACTACTTCCTTCACCACTTCCTACGTCATGGGGCCTGTTTCCTTCCCTTCTCATTGCATTTTAGGATTGAAGATACATTAATCTAACTGCCACAGACGGTTCTCACACTATGCTCATACTTTACTACTTCTTAAGCCACTTCCTACATCGTGGACCTGTTTTCATCACTTTCCACAGCATTTTAGTATTTTAGATACGTTAATCTAATTGCCACAAACATTGCCCACACTTCGCACTGCTAGCCTTTACTACTTCTTTCACCATTTTCTATGTCGTGGGCATGCTTCCATCCCTTCTCTTAGCATTTCAGCATTGCAGATACATTAATCTAACTGCTACAAACGGTTTCCAGTTCCCACACTCCACACTGCTCACCTTACTATTTCCTTCACCTCTTCTTACGTCACGGACCAGTTTCCTTCCCTTCCCATAGCATTTTAGGATTTCAAATACCTTAATCTAATGGTCATAAAAAACAGATCCCATACCCCGAACAGCTCGCCTTTACTACTTCCTTCACCACTTCCTACGTCGCGGACCCGTTTTCCTCCCTTCCCATAGAATTTTAGGAATGCAGATACCTAAATCTAATCGTCATAAACCGTTTACACACTCCGGACAGCTCGCCTTGGCTACTTCCTTCACCAATTCCTTCGTCGCGGACCCGTTTTCCTCCCTTCCCATAGAATTTTACTAATCAGAAATCAGAAATCTTTATTCACCATTGATCATATTAAATGAAATAGGCTTCGTCATACAATATAGGCTAAATCTATCATAATACTAAGGAAAAGAAAATCTACACATATAACACAATCATAAACCTATAAAGGCCCAAATACTTACAACACTCCAACTCAAAATTTAGTTATTTTGTTACCCTAGCTATTTTTTTGTAGAGCAATGAGCTATCTTCAGGGAGAGGTTCTTTGCCAGCCGATTTAATGAGTGGGGTTGTTTCTTATCTGAGCTTATTATGATTTTGTATTTTCTTTATTTATGTCTAGAAAGATGAGAGCGTGTCCCTACAATAATAAGTCAAGAGTTTATGCTGTAACAATCAAATATTTATTCGACAAATTTATTAAATCTAACATTCAGTCTTATTAAATAATTATCACAGTGATCTTTCTCACTTAACAATTCGCAAATATTAACAATTCATAAATATTTAACTTGAAAAAAAAATCTACTTTAAATTATATCACAAAATATTAATGACTCAAGAATTCCCTAACTCGCAATAATGTAACCCCTGAGAAAGAAATTTAATTTTGTTAATAAAGAAAACCTAATCTGTAGTTTAAGTTGCCAACTTTCAGCTCTTACCAACTCCAGCACAAAGCCGAGTGTAGTGTTTGCCGAATGTAGCTTTGAGGACTCTACTCTTCCAGCTAAAAAGCCGAGTTAACAAGAGAGAAGTCTTCTCTCTTTCAAAAATCCCGCCCTGCCATGATACCGGAGTACGTACCGCGCAGAAAAAACTATATGACGTAATGTGATTGTTTTACTTCCTCTCACTCAATTCTCAAACCGGGCCGGGTGCCGATGTCTGTCAAATGTCATGTCCTGGAGGTTATGTTAGTGATGATTGTAAATAGGCATCCGTTTAAAGTTATTCTTAATATGAATTTAAACAATCTTACAGTAATTAAAACAAATCACAGTTATAGGATAATTTAAATAAAAGAATGATTAGTCGGAGTCTAATTTAATTATGGCCTTTGATGAAAGTAAAAGTTGTATCGGCAGACGTTATGATATCGAAACGGTAAGTGTACGTATTGTAGGTTATCTTAACTTAGTCAATAATGAAATTTGACTTAAATCTGCTATTAATTAGAGAGGTATTTATTAGAATTTTATTTATTATTACCTTGAAATTACAAAGCATCAAGAGGATCGGTGTTTATTGCAACTGTGCAACAACCTAGGCTATTTGGAATAACGTCTTTCATTGGTTATTGTTTGAGCCTATTAGAAAGCTTGATAGTAATCTAAATTTGGTTAATTGAGTAGGCCTATTATATTATTATTACGGCGGTAAATTTTGGTAACGTCGTAATTGTCCCCTCAATTTTGTGACGAAGCTAATTGTTATTGCGAGTTTCACAAAATTCTAATATCACAGAAAATTTTTAAAAATTTAGATAAATCAGTCTTGAAATGAGCAAAAAATAAAATAACTAATAGGAACATGAAATCTTACAACTAATAATACATAACAGTCTTTAGGTTGGAGTCTTGAAGAGTCCTCTAAAACTCCAGGGTGAAATCCTCTTCCAATTCCATCTCCAGGACGTCCTCCTCAGGATGTGCTCCAGGCGGGCTGAAGATACTGGTCACCGCATCAATCCTTTGAATGGGCTCCTGGACCTTCATCTCGTGCAGGATGCGCAGCACCTCCCGGTCGCTGGAGTCTTCAGTTAGGGGTCCCTTTGGTGGTATGTCGCAAGGATGCAAGACATACTTCCGGGCGACGATAGGGTAGCCCAGCACCCTCTCCATTTCTGTAAGCCTCTTCTTGGCTTGGACATCGGCGTACTTAGTGATGTCCGCCTCCTCAGATAGCTGCTCGCACCGTCTACCGAGCACCTCTCGCTGCTTCTGAGCCTCCAGCTTCCTGTTGTTGATCTCCAGGAGATTCGCCAGTTTCGTTCTTGGCTTGACGCTTGAAGCAAGCTGCACTCGTCTCGGGTCGTCAAGTGGGAGCTTGGCCAGCCACTTTCGGAAGGCTTCGTGGTGACGCTTTCCTCCTTTCTTTGGAATGTAGAAGTTAGCTGCTGCCATCATCTGTTTTGCAAATTCAAAGAAGATTAGTGTTGTGTTCATAATAATACATTTCATAAAGTTTTTTTTTTGTTATTCATTATTTTATATGTATTTTTTTTTATTTGGCTTTTATTGTTATTGTTAGGATTATATGTTATTTTAAATGATTTTGTTTTCATTATTTTATTTTTATTTTTTGTGTGTTTTATTATTATTTTTTATTTTTTACTA